TGATTAAAAGAAAAAGAAACTTATTAAGAAATTAATTCCCACCGTTCCAATTCTGCATGGGCATCAATAAATTATAATCAGACTAACTACAATTAATACCAGATTTCTATAGACATATAATTAATACCGGAATTTTTACAGACATAGAATTCCATTTTGTTTTGTTGTTTTAGAAAACCTATAAGTAATATCGGATTTTGCAGAAGACTTTTATGAGTTAATTCGAAAGTGTATTGAGAATGAAGTCATTTCTGAATTCGCTATGGCAAATTTAAGTCCAGAATCAATACAAAATACCTACTTTCCTCAAAAACTTACTATATATACAATTTTAGATAATTAAATACCATAGAAACCTATAATTATTACCAAATTTTTATGAACCTATAACACCGTACTTTTAAAGAAAAATATAATTAATAGTATTTTTTTAATGTTTATAATTAATAGCGGGTTTTACAGTAGACATTAATGGGTTAAGATGGAACTGTATTAAAAGTTCACAAATTTCTGGATGCATTACGGGATGTTTACTTGCAAAACAATACAAAATATCTCTTCTCCACAATAAATTACGACACATTTCGGATAATTAAAGACCATAGTAATAAAATTCAGGATAATTAAAATCATACAGACAAAATTAAAAGCATTAAAAAAGCACCTGGGCTAAGTTTAACATCGTCTAAATTTAATTTAAAATGTTGAAGGTTTCTATATCTTTAACGTCTAGATGTAATGTGTAAACAGTTGTTGTTCATTTGTACCCCACCTACAATCTTTTACTCCATTTTTATCTATAAAACTAATTCCATGAATAAAGCCGTCATTCGTCGGAAGTTGATTTTCAGAAAGAGATGCATCGCTACTTAGGTTTCCAGTGTGTAATTCTTTTACCAATACTTTTCTAACACACACACACACACACACACACACACACACACACACACACACACACACACACATATATATATATATATATATATATATATATATATATATACAGTAGTATACAGTTGGTATAATCCAGGCGAGTCCTATTAACACAACATAGAATTTGAAATATGTTAAAACTGATTCAAAAAGAGCGCTAAAAGTTTATTTTCATTAAAAAGAGCAAATTTTATTTACAATTAAAATTAAGATACTATATAAATTGTACATATATATATATATATATATATATATATATATATATATATATATATATATATACTTGTGTGTGTGTGTGTGTATATATATATATATATATATATATATATATATATATATATATATATATATTATATATAATATATATTAAAAAAGAAAATTTATTGAAAAAAATTTTTGGTTTGTAATATTTTTTATTGATAAAAAATTATATTTTTTCCAAAAAATTTTGGTAATAAAATTCTTCTTTTTAATATACATACTTTTCTCTCGTTGGAACCACTACAACATATTTCTTTTATATATATATATATATATATATATATAATGAAGTATTCCTTAATATATTTCAGCCTTGATAATGGCTAAATTTATAGCCGAAAGCGCTCGACTAAAAAGAACAGTCGGACAGTTTTTATATAATTTATCATCTGAAAAGATACAAATTAAGGATTACATGAGTAATTGTATAAAAAAAACAAATTAAAACACTTTGTATGTCGTTGTTCAGAAAGAAATGCATCGCAACTTCGGCTTCCATTGTGTTATTCTTTTACCAATACTTTTCTAACACACACAGACACACACACGCACACACACATATATATATAAATAGAACAGTTGGACAGTTTTTATATAATTTATCATCTGAAAAGATAAAAATGAAAGATTACATGAGAAATTGTATTAAAAAATAACAATTTAAATACCTTGTATTTCGTATTCAATGAAATGTGCATGAAAGAATGACTACTGCCGAAATACACACACATACACACATATATATATATGTGTGTGTGTGTGCCTTGTATTTCATACATCAGTGCTTATATATTGTTGTATTATTCATATCTTCACCTACTTGCAAGGGAAGTTGGGTCACTGTGTCATACCAGGGAATTTTTCTTGTCAGAGTCCATCTTTCCCATTTATGAATCTACAATTCATCCATGCATTGAATACTGCTGTTATATCTGGTCTGGTATCCCTGCTGTTCATCTGGGGGTTCTTGACAAAATCCAAAGAATAATCTGTAATGTAATCGATCCTGACTTGGCATCTCGATTTCAGTCAGTTTCTCACCTACGTGATTTGGCTTCTCTCTGTGTTTTCTACAAATATTCTCATGGCAACCGCTCTGACGAGCTTTTTTACTTGATTCCCCGACCGTATGAATTTAAGTCTGCTTCTATACTAACATCTAGGTGCAACTCTTTTACTACTGAAATATTGAAATACAACTGCCACTTCTACTACAACACGTTCTTTTCCCGCGTTTTCCGCCTTTGAAAATCTCTTCCGTTTACTTGCTTCCCTGATAACTATAATTTTCAAAAATTTAAATGCTCCGTCAATCGCCATCTTTTGTCTTCTTGAATCCCGTTCATCTTTTGTCCTTTCCACAATCCTTCTTTCTCTTGTCTTTCACGTTCATTCCCTGTAACCCCCTGCGTACTAGTGGCATTTTCGCCTTCCATAGGGTGAAATGTTTCAACACACACACACACACATATATATATATATATATATATATATATATATATATATATATATTATAAATTGATTTAAAATATGATTTTTCGCTACACATTTCTAACCATGTTTCAAAAATGGAAGCTAAAAGCCCCGAATTTAATTTTGTAATTAAATTAAAGACATTAGTTCCATTTAATCCTCAAGCGAATTTTACTTACTGTTCTTTCTTTACATATATATATATATATATATATATATATATATATATATATATATATATATATATATATATTCTTCATCTTTTCCGATTAGAAGGTTTTCGGTTTCCCACAAACCGACGTCTGCAACGCTTGTTTGTTCCGGCACCCAGAGCATACAAAAATTACGATACCCCACGCCATTACGCACTATGGCTACTGCAGCTCCATAACTGATAGTCAAGATTGCCTCCACTTGTGCATACGTGATTCGTCAGTATTCTCTGGGCAAGATAGCAACCTTCTGGATTTCTTCTTCCGCAGTCGATGCTGTTGCACGATCAGGTCAGCTATTGAAAGCTGCATGTATTCTTTGCGCCTTTCGTTGATCCATGTTACGTGCTCCAGGACAGAGTTCCACAAGCGAGAAGTGCGTAGTAAGAAACTATTAGAAAATAACTTACGTTTACATCTAGCAATTCCAACAATAAAATAATGAGACCTAGCTGCCAATCTAGTACTGCGCTTAAATTCTCGAAGTCAAGATACCAACGAAGAAAGCTCATGAGAACAATTACTATGAAAATATATGTAGAAGAAACACAGTGAAATTACGTTACGGTGGCAGGAAAGAGGTTGATACAGATACAGAGATGTCAGATCAGGACTAATAACACTGCAGATTTTTTGGATTTTATCAAGAATCTCTAGACACATAGGACAACCAACAGACTAGATATGGCTGCAATACTCAATGCACAGACCAACGGTAGACTGATAACTGTAAGCTAGATTCTGGAAATTATCCAGAACAAGCAGTGAACTAAGTTTCCTTACAGTGGATCTAGCAGTTTTATTCAATATAATCGTTCAAAAGTATACCAATAAAGGTGCCATGAGTTACTCTTCCTGGAGATTAAGAGAGCCATGTTTAAGGAAAACCACAAACATTCTATAAGTCGGTTAAAAGAGGGATGTTAAAATTAACAAGCCATTTCTCATTTAGATTACAGTTTCCAGTTCAGTCCATTTTATACAAATTGCTTATCATGATATTTCTCATGGCAAGGTGAATCAGTTGGTAACACACGTCTTCTCACCCAGCTTGTACTTGGCTACATGATCAACAATAAGTAATGCCTGACCTGACTGATTTTCTTTTTTAATTTGTTTAATGACAATTTAGATATTGATTGTATAATAGAAAGTGGTGGTAATGATGAAAATTAAAATTTCAATAAATTTTTAACTTGATATTCTCTTTTCCTCGAAATTGGACTTTTTATAGTTTTTTTTTTTTTTCGCCAAATAAAAAATGTGGTTGCTGATAAACATAAATTTATTGCCAAAATATGTTACAATTATTATTTTTGGATTTAAAATGAAAATTGGGATAATATCTTTCTTATTTTAGAATAGCAAGTACATATTTATTATTATAAATCAATAACGAAAAAAATATTTTTATTTAAACCTATTTATAATACGCACCCGTACTATCACCGGTAATTTACAGTAAAAAAAATGCGTATTATTTTCGAGAAATTACTGTATTTCGGGAGAGAGGCGATGGATGTTTGTCTCTCCCAAGTCATGGGTGCGAAAGCGAAGATTTGAAATCGCTTTTTGGATTTCTCTTTCCGTGCTGACAATCGCTAAGCTGTCTGCTCATACTTCTTTTTTCTTCTTTTTTTTTCTTTTTCTTCTTCTTTTTTTCGCATTGACTTCTTTCTCTTCACTTTCCGAACAGAGGAGACATGTAAATTTAAACAAAAAAAAAGCCTAAGAAGACAGAAAGAGAAATGAAATTTATGTTTAATGTTAACGAAAATGAAATCATCTCCCTTGCCGTCATCCCATTTAGAGTTAAATATTTCTGTGAGTGCTGTTACGCTGAAATGATTGCACATCGTTCCGGCCTGACCACACGAAAACTTGGCTCACTTGGGCAGAAACCAGTCGCCCGCATTTGATTAGAAAGATAATCAAAAGGCGTAACTAATTAGAAAAAAAAACGGTGACAGCTCCCAAAGGCTGTGCTCAGATGCGTTTCTTTATAAATTGCGCATTCCTTAAGAAGACCAGCGTGTAAACGAAATGGAAGTAGAACACATGAACAAGGCAAATTATTTGATAGATAGATATGAACAGTGACGTAGCTAGCTAGCTAGCTAGCTAGATAGATAGATAGATAGATAGATAGATAGATAGATATGAACAGTGACATAGATAGATAGATAGATAGATAGATAGATAGATAGATAGATATGAACAGTGACATAGATAGATAGATAGATAGATAGATAGATAGATAACAGTGACATAGATAGATAGATAGATAGATAGATAGATAGATATGAATAGTGACATAGATAGATAGATAGATAGATAGATAGATAGATAGATATGAATAGTGACATAGATAGATAGATAGATAGATAGATAGATAGATAGATAGATAGATAGATATGAACAGTGACATAAATGAATAGATATTAAATTGAGAGAAATAAAAATGTGATTAGACTGAAGAAGAAATGTTAAAAGATTAAGATATATATATATATATATATATATATATATATATAGATAGAGAGAGAGAGAGAGGGAGAAGGGGGAGAGAGATGCTGAACAGGTTGAGATAGAATTCAGAGCCTAAGTTAATTGGTTTCACAGTAACAGGAAAGAGCATTTGATAGTATTAAAACACTACACTTCTTACCCTTTCTTTTGTAAAACTAACTCATCATAATAATCCCAAATGAAATGTACATGTGCGACAGAATGCGGAGGCTGGACCAGGATGGTCATTAATTTACCAGAATACTTTGTGGGTGTGGTGTTCTGATAGTCGTGGATTGCCATTGTCTAGGTTTTGGATATGTAACCAAATCGGCGCGAAGTTCGCAGAGGGCCGCAGGAATTTTGAAGTGTCGATACACATTCCACACCAAAATTAGATCGATAGATAGATAGGGAAGAAACATAGATAGATAGATAGATAGATAGATAGATAGATAGATAGATAGATAGATAGATAGGCTAAGGACCCATGTGACGATATGCTACGGCAATGAGCGGGCATGCGTTCCCCGTTAGTTCTTCCTCTCGCTGCCTACTAGAGACGACGCTACCACGGCTGTCTCCTTCTTGAAATAAAAGCAATATGAAAAAGAAAACGGTCTTTCGTTGATGCAATTTATGAAAATGGGGTCAGGGTCCGAGGAGCTGAGACCAGTGGAGAGACGGATCGCAACAATGGAGAAAAATATTCTCTATTTTTTGGTGGGATTCAAAATTATATGTCACAAATTGTTGGAATATAAACAAAATATCAATGAATTTGAACGATAAAATGGAATCGAAAATATCTTTTTCAAAGCAAATAGGTGATTTTTATTTTATTTTATTGATTTATTTTTATTTATTTTATTTATTTATTTATTTTTTGCATGACAACAGTAATCCTTAAGTTGCTAATATGTGGCAACAGACCACAATGGGCCTAGTATGGGAAACTCATCTACATGCTGTCTATCCTTCAGACTTGATAAGTTCGTTTGATTTATTGCATTCAGTACTTGTGGTCTGGTCAGCACTTCAGACAAGTTTAACATACCTAAAAATGCTTTGATTTGATCTAAAAATCTCGCTTATGGGCAAAAGTATTCTTGTTCTCCTGTTGTACATCTCGCCTTTCTTGAAACAATAAAAAAGCCTATAATGTAATCGATCCTGACAAGGCATGTCGACTTCAGTCGCTTTCTCACCGACGTGACGTGTCTTTCCTTTGTCTTTTCGACAGAAGTTTTCATGGCAACTGCTACGATGAGCTTTTCGCCTTGGTGCCTAGATTACGTGAATTTAAGCCTACTGCTAGATTGGCAACTAATTCTTATCGCTTTACCGTTGCACTAGTTAGATACAAATGCTAGTTATATTGAAACAGTTGCTTTTCTCCCGTTTCCCACTTATGGAACCCTCTCCCGATTTCTTGCTGCCCTGATAGCTGCCATCATCAAAAAGTCAAATGCAACTTCAATAACTTCTGTCTTCTCTAAACCCCGTTCTTTTTCTGTCTTTTCATCAGATCTCAGTCTTCTCATTCTCTTTCAATTTCACTCCCCATAACCCACTACGCCAGGGGTCGGCAACTCATTCGATCCCGCGGGCTGGATCGTGTTATAATGACGGGTCGTGGGCCGGACGAAAGCCATTAAAGAAAAATTAAGGAAAATTACATATGCAGACCCCTGTCAGCCTAAATATTTAAAACCATAATGAAAGTAAACATTGAGAAATCAGAAAAACAAAAGAAAATCTAAAATTTAAAAACACCTAACGAAAATTCCTTTTCGTCAATGAACGTCAAAATATTTCAAAGTGAAAAAAATCAGCCGAAGTGAAATGGATGAAATTATGACGTGTAGGTTTGAAACTGTTATTGAAATTTGTTCCACAAACGAACCAAACACACACACATCAAACAAAAACGAAGCCCATATACCCATATATACGAGTACAAACGAGTTGCAAACATATACACTTACGTACGTACACATGCGGTATCATCCACACATTCATGAGGCATGTATGTATAATGCACGTATGTTTAACTGTCTTTAGATTTCTGCTACCTCGCATGTCAGTCCCTCCCTGACCTCTTTCACTTTATCGTTTCTTTCGCTTCTGTTATCTTTTAATGTAGACAAGGGTCATAACAAATAATGTATCCATTATTTGACATTTGACGTAGGCAACGCAACTTGGTAAAATAAGTCTCATGAAAGATAACTGGCAGATAGTCTAATTCGAAAGCCTCGTCTCTCCTGTTAAAAATAGAGTCATTGGTAATCAGGCTCGAGGGCCGGTCAAAATGGAGGCATTGTAGCTTTGCTTGGGTTGAAATGATTAAAAGGGTTAAAGTGGCATATGAAGCAATAGAAGCTTCGTTGAAATTATCCCTGTATAGCTGGCCACTAGTATTCGAGGATACCCGTCTATTAGGGCGGCTAGCCAAACCCTATTGCAGACGCTTGCTCAGGCGTATTTGCGTTTATTCAACACCCACCTGTTTATGCTACAACTATGCTGAGCAGACCTTAGTTACAGTTTCTGGGAAAGAAGCGTGTTATCAGCAATTTGAACATGACCAGCAGGCTCAAGCCCTCGGTCACGATGACTCGTGACTTTGTGCTAGCACAGCTATCAACAGCACCCAAGGGTTCCGTCTACCCAATTTCACTTACAAGTAGTATGGTTTTCGGGCACTTTCCAAAGGTGCCCCACGCTGGGATCGACCCTTCCATTCCGATAACATCAGGAAGTCTCCTTCCCGACAAATCGACTATGGTGAGATTTAAACCCAGGTCTCATAGAATGCGACCGTTCTAACCCCTCGGCCACGAGCCCATTGTAAATATAACAAAATGTGACAAAGCTCTTGGTGGTGTCGGCTGACATTGAAAGCGGAAAGGATAAGTAGTCTTGATTCCCATACTAATCTCGAAGACTATTACTACTGTCATGAGTTAGATTTTTAACTAACTGCAACAGTTTCTTTTTTTAGGTTTATTCCAAGAACAGTAAAGACGACCAGTACCATTGGAGTGTCTTTTGTTCTATTCACGAATAACTGAAGCCAAATAAAATATCAAATTGGCCTCGCTATTACGCAATGGTAATCAAGTTACACTCGCAGTTTAATACTGATTTGCTGACATTAGAATTCCATTGCTCCTTTCTGTTTTAAATTTAGTATAAAAGAACAGGAGACTGGACACGGAATAGATTATTCTCTAGGTATTTTAAACAAACACTGTAAATGCTACAAAACCAAAATTCTAGACTGAGAACTCGAGTTTCTCATATAATCTCTTCACATCCAGTGTCTGATATAGATGGCAGACATAACGCCCACCCATTATGAATAGAGGAGAGCAGATAGAGAGTCAGAAAATTGAGACTATGTATTAATTTGATTTATTAGAAACAGGCTAGTAGGAGGTACGGTGGAGTACTGGATAGCGATTCGGATTGAGGAATTCGAATCTATTACATTCACTTATGTGCTAATACCCTTAAGAAAAGTATGAATCCTCTTCTTCTCCCCCAGCTATGGTTAAGTCACAGAACAGACCGGGTTCTATAGCCTTGGATGGCAACTGGTCTACCGCAGCAAGAAATGGCAACCTACTGCGCGAAAAAAAACTGCTTCGTCAGTCATGTATCGAAAGATATATGATCGCCTAAACATGTATCACGTATGGCACATAACTGACTGTATGGTGTAGCCAATCAAAAGCCGTGGAGAACAAGACCTCCTTTTTTTTTACACACAGAATATCTTAAAGTCAAAATGTCCTCGTTTTTCATTCCAGGGATTTTAGTCCACAGCAAACAAGATGTCGTATGAAAACATTTCGGTGGTTCTCTAAACAGATGGGATGTAGTCCATTTCGGACATTGATAGTCACAGAATCAAATCCCGGTTGCACCAATAATTGTGGCGTAGCGAATTGTTTGTCGTCAACGGCAACAAATATCACTTGAAGTTGATATGGGCTGAGGAGGCACGGTGGAGTAATGGATATCGGCTCGGATTGAGAGCCGAGTTCGAATTCCAGTCAAATCCATTACATTTACGTGCTAATACCCTTAGGAAAGTTATGGACCCTCTTCTTCACTCCCACCCCCAAGATATAGGTAAATAGCAGGACAGACCGGGTTCTATAGCACTGGATGGCAACTGGGCTACCGCAGAAAGTAATGGCAACCTACTGCGGTAAAAGAAAATATGACTTGTCAATAATGTATCAAAAGATACATGATCGCCTAAGCATGGCACATAACTGACTGATGGGCTGTATAGTCTTACTGGATGATTTCAACGTCGTAAAAAGTAATTTCATTAGCCCTGCAGGAAAAGTAAGTTTTCAAAATATCCTTTTTTTTAATAATAAATTTAAATATCTTGTAAGTGTTTTAACAAAGGGCGAAAAGTACAAAGCTGATATCCGAAGGATCATTTGAATAGCCAAAGATGCCTTCCAAAAGCTAAGCAAAGTATTACGAAACAGAAAAATTACGCTAGAAACAAAGAAAAGAGTTCTGAACTGTTATGTAATATCAGTCCCCTATACGGGCAATCTTCTCACAGGCAAAGGAGAGACTTGAAGCAACGAGAAAGTGGTTCTACAGAAGAACACTGAGAATACAATGGACCAAACATGTGCCCAACGACTTAACACCAGGAAGCGGGAGTTGATATTTCTAAGGCATATAATGATGAAAGAAGGCTTGGAAGATTTGATACTCCCATGACAGATTGATGGCAAAAGGGACAGAGTAAAGCAATGCATAACCTACCTAGCGAGCTTGAATAAATGAATGGCAGAACAAGGTTTAGGAGAGATAACAAGAAGAAAAAATTTATTAAGAGCTACAAAGGACAGGAAATTATGAAGAGTCCTAACTGCCAACTTCCCGAAGCGACGCAGCACATAATAATAAATTATTAGTATTAAATACACTTAGGCGGCATGGAAGATGGCTATTGCAATCAATTGCATGGATTAGTTCCAAATTTCTGAGAACCCGCCCACAAAACCCTGCAGTCGGAATCTCTTTAACCTATATCCGATTTGTGGGGCCTGCTATTTCCTTTCTTAATCCATTGCAGTCCCAAATCCAACTACTTAATTTTTATTTGCCAGAACGATCTGATTCTACTCGTTTTCTAATTAACTAGTCCATACCACCCCTAAGCAATCAAAATAATATCTGGTTTCAATCTTCTAACTTTCTCTATCAGCTGTCGTCGCACCTAACTTCACTCCGCTCAGTGAACGGTCATAACAGAATGGCTTAAACTTAATGAATTCATGGATTCTGTCATCAGATTACAAACATCTGATTTTTTTTCTGTTCACCACTAGATATCTTTGTTTTCTTCTTCGATGTGCTATTTACCTTCAGGATATGGGCGATCATGGCTCTGCACAAATGTATTTCTATTATAGCTATAAGTAATGTTTGCCTACGACACGCGATCCGCTAGGGAATAAGAAACGCTCCAAAATGGGAAAGGAGACACGTTTTGCCCGTATGGTATCCTGTGCGTGTAAAATAAAAGAGGTCTAATTCTACTGACTTCCGACTGGCTTACCCATACAATCTCTAATCAATCAAAACAATTGCTAGTCTGAATCTTTTTAACTCTTTCTGTTCTCTTTGCTCTTTCTCCATTTAATATCAGCTAAAATCAACAGCTTTATCTGAAGAGATCCATTTATAATTTGAAAAAACTCAACAGCTGCTACTATCTGAAGAGATCGATCTTTACTTATTGCTCCACTATTTTTCGACAAGAGGCGTTTACAACGTGTATACGGAAAAAATCGAGAGCCGAGTTCGAATTCCCGCACTGGTACATTCATTGCGTGCTAATCCCTGAATTATTTTATACGGTCTAAAAAGAAATGACAAACCTTATGTATCCAATGATACATGGTTTATAGATATCTATCAACTGATCTCGCCATATCGTTTATAATCCGCGCTGCAGAATTGCATTATAAACCACAGATTGTATAGATTTAAGACAAATAAAGTGTGTCAGATCAGGCATACCATAGATTAGCCAGTCAAGACTGAAGACAGATGCTTAATACTAATCAGGGTTAGAATAAAGAGACGGGAAGAAACTTATTACTCCACTTTGCTTGTCACCGTTAATCTGTATCAACTGCATTTGGGGAAATATTAGAGTTTGATGAAAGCTATTTAAATTATTCGGACTATTGGCCCCATCTTTCGGCCATTGTATGCTTCAGCCTTCTTCAGGTGGTTGGAATGTCGAACTGAATCCTTTATTTCGCTCGCTGGGGTAGACTGTTCTAGTTCCACGTCTGATGGATGTCAGTTGTCAGTTATCTCCTGTTAATTCACCTCTCCAAGTTATCCACTGCCTTAATTAGGCATTGAACTCATAACGCTTTGGGTCCTGCCACTGGATCTAAACAACGCCTTTATCGACTGTGCCATGTGTCCTTAAGGACGAAAGCGTTTTTAATTTTAACCAGCTATTCATTTAGTTATTATTATTATTATTACCTAATGTAATGTTCTCCATAAGGTATTTTTGGGGAGCACTTCGACGTGATGTAATGGTTATCAAGCTTGTCTCGCTAGATCAATTACAACTGAGTAGTGAGTTTTATCCTCAATGGGTGCCCCATACTTCCGGCTTTGTGTCAATAATGAATAGTCTGCGCTATATTAGGTCTGTCTATCCATGGTTTCTGATCTTAAATGATTGGTGATTTTAACATATATATGTTTTATCTTGAAGAATTAAAATGGTCTACGTTATATATCGAAAAGAGAAAAAGTTACAAAGTGCTATAAAGGACCGGAAATAGTGGAGAACTGTGAACCCCCCCACACACACACACACACACCTGAAAGGATATGACACGTAGAAGACAACAACAGAAAAGAAGCTACCGCTCTTGAAAATCACTTTTCAAACTCTGGCTTAAGCTAATGCTGCGAAGTCAGTCTCTGGGAAATTATGCCAATCACACTGCAAGTTCATCTCATATTCAGCTGCCTCTTCTTAATTCAATGGAATCACAAAGATTCCTAAAAATCCAGGTATATCGAGTTGCAGCAGCGAATCTTTGAAGTATACCTCACTATTCGTTCATTGTGACGGCAGTGTAAATAGATGCAATGCGATTGAACAATGAGCAGAAAGAGCATCTGAAACAGTATGCTGCGACCGAGGAGGTCCAAAGGTGCGGCGGGCTTTCCTCTCGCAGTGACCTAGCGGAACGGTACACCGGAGAAGATTTCTGAACTTCCAGAGATAAAAGCATGAACTTTTGCTCAGTAAGTACGAATTCAATTTAAATGTCACAAAATCGGTTACACGATCAGACACACTGGAAACGATGTGTCCAATGCTGTGGATCTAGGGTATCTATCTATGCACATGTATATGTCATTGCAGATCTTCATATATACACATACTCTCTCTCCTCTCTCTCTCTCTCTCTCACACACACACACACACAACAAACACACACACACACACACACACATATATATATATATATATATATATATATATATATATATATATATATATATATATATATATATATATATATTTATATAATATAAAAATTTTGGAAAAAAACAAACCAAAAATCCTTAAATTCAATTATGTTGTTTAAAATGAATGAAATGTCGACGTCTGACGTTTCGGTTTAATAAACCTTCTTCAAGACAATATTCATTAAAATACAATTCAGTTCAATTTGACAAAGACGATGGACATAAAAAAACAAGTCTTATCCAAAACAGATAACTGAAAATTTTTAAAATGATCAGCTTTCCGTTAAGCATGGTCACGTTGTCGTCACATGGGCGACGCTTTTTTTTATTTCATGCAGAGATTTTGAAAAATTCTATATTTTAGTTAAAGTAAAGGATATGAAGTAAAGATTTTTAGTTAAAGTAAAAGATATATATATATATATATATATATATATATATATATATATATATATATATATATATAAATTATAAATTATAGTAAATATATATGAGGCTGTATATGCAGGTAGATAAGTATGAATGACTGGGCATTTCTATTTGTGTATATATATATATCTTTTACTTTAACTAAAATCTTTACTTCATATTTTTTACTTTAACTAAAATATAGAATTTTTCAAAATCTTTGCATGAAATAAAAAAAACACATTTGTGTACTTTAATGTTAATTGTAATAATTCTATAGAAATAAAAATTTATATAAAAACAAATTATAGACATGTAAGAAAAAAGTGTGAGGACAAAGTCTTTGATGTATTTATCAGTTTATTGCCCGCTGTTTTATAACCTTGTTACCATGTCACTGATGGTAGAAATAGGTATAGTTATATGATATCATATTTCCTCAAAACTACCCCAGCCACACTCCTCACCCCCACCCCAGTTAAGTCTGCTACTTTCCTTGATTTTTGCCGACTTTAAATCGGGTTAAATATAATTTGCCCATTTTCAATTGGTACATCCATCTAAAAAACCTTAAACTGTACTGAATAAATAATTTTAAATGGACAAATGAAAAAAATAATTTGAAATAAAATGTGTTCTTTCAAAATCAGGGCATACAAGACATTAGAGATTTTTAAAAGATTATTTATAAAATACATTGACTATTAAGTATGGTAGAGCTGATAGGTTTCGGATCTACGCAGCCCGACTAGTCACGCTAAGTTTATTTCATTCTATTTTGCTTTCTTTCTTTTTTTTTCTTTTTTTCTTCTTTCTTTCTTATTACGCACAATATAAACGAAATGTATTTCCGTCAATATTTTGAGGCACGTAATTAAAACAATTAATTTGGGATCCAGCTGAAATCATAAATGAAAACGACCCACTACAAAAGATTTTTGTTGGTTTGAAAGAGATATACTCAATCCGGAGTCGCCACTGGTATATATATATATATATATATATATATATATATAATATATATAAAAATAGGAATGTATATCTGCTGTCGTTCATATATATCAGTACTACTTCCACCGTTACCAAATATCATTGATATATATATATATATATATATATATATATATATATATATATATATGGCGACGGTGGAGGTAGTTTGGAGTAATGGATAGCGGCTATGATCAAGAGTCGAGTTCGAATTTCAGTAGGAGCCATTACATTCACTTATGTGGGAAAGGTATGAATCCTTTTCTTCAGTCCCCAGCTATGGGTAAATAGCAGGACAGGCCTAGGAGAGGGGCAACTGTGCATTCAAAACCTGCGGAGGGTCGTTTGAATTTGAAATTAGCGTAGGTCACGTTCGATTGGTTAATCACGGCAATGATCACAAGCCTATTTTTAAAAGTATTCTACCTTTTGAAATTAAATTAGTCTTTCACTTGCTAGTAGTTTAACATCGTCTGAAGAGACACATTTATGGTGTTGAAACATAATTGTAATTGTGTAGCGATTTTTAACATGTTTTAATGTTCTAAAATAAACAATGTTTAACTCCACTATGTGTTGAGCCCTCTTTTAAATTAAATGTTACTTACAGGGGCATCATACTCGATTTGCTCTCATTTTACCTGTATATATATATATATATATATATATATATATATATGTGTGTGTGTGTGTGTGTGTGTGTGTGTGTGTGTGTGTACATATATGTATATGTATGTATCTGCGGGTGTATATATATAAACACAGATATATATAAACACAGACATATATAAGCACACATACATATATATGTATATATACAGATACACTTATATATACGCACACGAACATATATTTACACACACGCATATATATATACACACATATACAAACATATATATAAATATGCACACACATATAAATATACACACATGTATATGCACACAAACATATATATATATATATATATACACACATATATTCGCACACATATATATACACACATATATATGCACACAAACATATATATATATATATGCACACACATATATTCGCACATATATATATATATATATAAAGACATATATATACACACAAAAGTATATACATATATACACACACATATATATTCGCACACATATATTCACACACATATATATATATATGTGTGTATGTATGACAAATTGGAATGCTATTTTATTTATTTGATTGCCCTTTTCCTAAAATATATGAATCTTTTACTTTCAGCCCATTCTACTAAGTTGGATAAGGATCTACCTTAAATCCAACGCAGAAGAAATGCCCGCTTCTTTTACTTTCTGAAGATTTTGAATAAGGATTGACCTTAAATTCAATGCAGATATGCAGGAAGAATGGGAAAAAGAAATTTCCATAAAACAAGAACATGGAAAAGTAAATAAAGCGGCATAAATTAAAATAACGGCTTTTATTACAAAAGTCACACAATTTTGTTCTTTCATATCGACGGAGGGACGTCAACTTCACGAAAACAGTCCTAACGATTTAATATTGAGGAACACACACAAATACACGTATATATTTTTTTCGTTCTGTTCTGAGGAAGCCTATCAAGCGATACGAAACCCGTAATCAAGTCAATAAAAACGTTTCGCAATTTGGCAAATTTGTTTGGATTTTATATCCTATTTATACAAACACACACACACACACATATATATATATATATATATATATATATATATATATACACTACAGTTAAAAGGTTGAGCCCTGGAAATTTTTTAAATTGGCGCCAAAAGTAGTTGTTTTGTTCTTCAAATAAGACAAGATTATTATGTATGGTTAAAAAAGACTTGATTTTTCATTAGAAACTTTATTATGACAAAAAGAAAAAAAATTCTGATTAAAATTTGCTCTCATCAAAATAGCCTCCTTTAAGCAATGATTATTACTGCACAGATTTTTGGCATTCGTTGCAAAGATTTCTCAAAGTATGATAATTTATTCCATTCTTTTTTCAATTACTCTAAGAGCTTTTTTCATTTTTTTATCTGTCAAGTTATTCCCATGTTATTTTGCGGTCGCTTTAAACTTTTGAACTGTATCGTATATGTACAAAAACATCGCTATATATATTTACGAAATAATAATGATTTAGTGATATCAGTCTTAATAATTAATATATACAGTGAAGTATACATATATACGTATGTGTGCGTACAATATATATAAACTCCAGGATGAACAACTAATAGAAACTTCACCAGAATTTAAAGACTTACTTAAGGCCGAGGCATTCAAGGATCGGCATGATAAAAGCAGAAACTCCTCAAAAAATACTTTTTTAAACAACTGAAAATTGCAGCACAAAGACTACGCAACCACCTTGACATAATATTAAAAAAAAGCTAAGACCAACATTTTTGTAATCCTAAATAAATTGGATTACAACCAAAAACTTGACCACATACTCCATGATCACATAAAGTTTAAAAAATTCAACAAGAACCCGACCAACCAACTAAAATCAAAGCTTAATAAATTCATTAAGGCTAATAATGCTGAACTGAACTCTTTAAAACTCCCTAAAATTGTTGGTGATTATAGACCTGGCTACATATATGGCACTATAAAAGCATAAACCTAACTATCCTCTCCGTCCTATCATATCGCAAATTCCAACTCCTGTATATCATCTAACAAAATACATTAATCAACTCATTACTCCGTACTTTCCTATATTATTTAATGAAACATGCATCAATGAAAATATATATAGTGTGTGTATTTAGGCACCATATATATATATATATATATATATATATATATATATATATATATATATATATATATATATATATATATAACTGTTTACTGATATATGTCTTACTAATTAACTCAAAGCTGAGGGAGAAATGGAAGATTTATAACCTTCCCAAAAGTATTTTCGTGTAAGTGAATATGACGAACCCAACGAGAATTAGAACTCGGCTCTCCAATTAACAATTCTGAGCAATTAGCCATTACACCTCCCCCACATCCAAGCTTACTGCACCTGATTTTTTCTAAACGATTACCCATCTAGTTACTGAACAGGCTCAACGCTGTTTTAACTTCTGTGATCGGACGGGAAGCAGTGTTTCAATGTCATGTGACCGTAATCCTTCAAAGTAGACATTTTCTTGCAATTCATCAGTTGATCCGGTGGGGTACTTCCGTTAAAGTCTGGAGCAATTGAAAATTAGTGGTTGTGATCAATGTCAAAGTTACACGCTGGGATTTTTCTATTAAAATGTTGATTTTTTTGTGCCAACCTTTCTCGGAACTCTGGTAGATAATGGCTCGCAAATACTATTGGTCGGCAGTGCGCTCATCTAGTTCC